GGGGGAGAAAGAGAAAGAGAGAGAGAAAGACTCACAAAGTTACATAGCAAATCTACTGAGGGAGAGCACACAGAGACCCAGGCCCTCACATCTCAGAAAAGAGATTGGACATTATGGTCTGAGGCCTGGTTGGCTTGACAGCTAGTTGTCATAGATAGGAGGAGGAGGAGTGGGGACATATGTCAGGCACCTTCTGGGAGGTTAGGGTAACAGAGGACCTTGGGGGTGGTCATGCATACCCACATACCCACCATCCTGCTGGGGCTCCATAGCAGGTACTTTCTCCATGGAAGCATGGCTATTCCCTATGAGACCAAGAGGCTATAGAAGTTGAGTCAGGTATTGAGACAACACAGGACTTTGGGCTGGGGAGAAGTCTCTTTTGTTCCCGAATTGGCAGAGGCTCTTGGCAGAACATTTCTCAGGTGCTTGGCTGGTGTGAACAGTCTTAGGAGACAGCTTGAAGAAGAGGGACAGGTGGAAAGAACCTTGTCTCTGAGAGCCGACCCAAGTACCAGCTGCCCAGTTTCTGAGCCACAGCTCTGTGTGCAGAACTGTATTCTCCTCTGTCCACTAAGCTTCTGGAACATTCTCTTCTCACTGCTCTGTGCTGGTCTCTAGGGAGATGGAGGGATATGGGGATAGTCAGTTGCCACGTGAGGGAGGCACACATCAGCAGTACACACATAGCAGAGAGACTGGCAAGACCTGTAGGCTAGAGTAGACCCAAGAGGGCTCTAACTGAGACAGGGTTCAGGAGATGCTCTCTGGAGACTACCAGGGCTAGGAGGAATAAACCAGATGAGACAGAGGGCAGGCTGGATCGTCAGGGCAGGGCCTGGTCAGGGCGCTGGTGGAAGTGCACTCTAGCTTTAATGGGGTTTTGAGCCCAGGCCAGCTGACAGCAGGGAAGTTAGGGAGAGGAAACCTGGCTAGGGGGGTGGGAAGCATGACGAGAAGGCCTGAGAAGCAGGCAGTGTGATACAGCTGGTTTGCAGGGCCTGAGAGATTCCCCCTGCAGAAAGGCAGCACTGGCTGTCATCAGAGGCAGAGACAAGGTGGCCTTGGTCACAGGCTTAGATCACCTGGTTACTGAAACTGGGAGGGGATGCGATGACCCCTGTTGGGGACACACAGAGGGAATAGAAGGAATCTTCCAGCCATGGACAGGATAAACATTTACCTGAAGAAGCCCAAACATAGAATCACTGAGTCCCAGGCCCAGGTGGGACACCGCCTTCCCTGCTGTCTTTTCAGATAGAGCTTTCGTTTCCATTCTTGTGTGGATCAGAGTGAGGTGACTCGGAGGCCAGCAGGCAAGGGTCAGGGAGTCCTGGCCATGCTCCTGGATCTAACTGCTGGGCTTTGCAAAGCGGTGCCCCTCCTCCACCCCAGCCTAGCAGTCCATGAGCCTGCCCCATAGTCTCCAAAGCAAAGCCTGGGCCCACTTTTGCATGCCCAGAGACTGAGCCTAGAGTGGCCCTGCCCCAGAGTAAGCCAATGGCCAGGGCTTCTTTCTAGTTGCCTCCTCCCTGCTGAGAGGTGGGGACAGATGTAGTAGCTGATGGGCTAGTGGAGACTGTAACCTTGGGGATGAGCTCTGCCTTCCTGGCTGTGGCTTCCATTTCCACCATCTCTGAAAAACTGAGCACGTGGGTGTGTCCATGTGGCATTCAGCCTGTGCTTTGTGTTGAGAAGTGAACTTGGGTAAAAGTCTTCAGGTGATACAGGTTTTGAAGGCATGAGGGAGAGCAGCTGGGGCTTGGCACCGTGTGGCAGGCCTGGCGTCCCTGGAGGGAGGCTGTTAGTGAAGGTACAGCCTCAATTGCAGTCAAAGCCCCAGGATTTGGGGCCAAGAAAGAAGGGACCATGGAGAAAAGTTGAGGTCTGGTACCATTTAGCAGGATTAGAGTCCAGGAACAGAGTCCAGGAGAGGTTATTGGTGAAAATGCAGCCTAGTTACATTGGCATCCCCAGAATTTTGGAGAAGCTGGGGTCATGGGATTACCACCTAGGGCAACCGCAGTTGTGGACTAGAACTAGGCTGAGCCTGGGAGACAAACCATGTGCTCTGTGGATGTCAGACTCGGAGAAGTGCTGCTGCCCAGGCCCTTTAGAGAGTGAGTGGTGCCCAGACGTTGGGTACTGAGTTGTTTACACTGTTGGAGTTTGGTTTTGCTTTGGTTTGACTGTGACTGCTCTGATCATTCCCTCTTGGATTAATTATTCCTGCCCTGACTTCTTTCGATGATGGAGTGTGGCCCAGGAACTGGAATAAGCCGTTTTCTCCCTAAGCTGCTTTTGGTGACGGTGTCTTATCAGAGCAATAGGAACCTCAAGACACCTGCACTTAGACACTGGCCTCTGAGGAGTCGATCATGCACTGTCTCCAGGAAGCAGCCCTGAGTCCTCCTGTCCCTGGCTAAACACCCCTGCCACCCCATCTCCCTCCTCATACCCCCAGCTTGGGGGCAGCAGAGGCAGCGGGGCGGGGGGGCAGAGGGAGTCTGTGCACACTCCCTCCCCCTAGAGAGGCAGACAGGAAGTATTTTGAACTCTGCGGACCATGTGGCCCCTGTAGCAGCCCAGTTGGCCTACAGTTCTAGTTAAAGCAGCCACGAGCTGTTCGTGCAGAGAGGCCAATGTGACTGTATTCAGCAAAGCTTTATTTATGGATTCTGGGATTTGACTTTCATAGAATTTTTATGTGTCACAAGATATTCTTGTTTTAAGTTCATTCCCCCAGTGGTTTAAAAATGTTAAAAAAAAAAAAAAAGAAAAAGAAAAAAAAATTCTTAGATTTCAAGCTGTACAAAAAAAAAAAGTAGGAAACAGGTCAGATTTGGCAAGCCAGTGGCTACTGTTGCCAAGCCGTGGGTTAGAATAAATGGAGCCAGACTGCCTGGGTATGATTTTTAGCTTTTCTCAGTGACCTTTCTGAGGGGCTGAGTCTTTCTGGACTTCAGATTTATAATATATAAAATGGAGAGGGCAAAGACAATGCACTGGGAATGTAAAAGAGAATGCCACTTTGGAAAAATAAGTTTAGTATTTATTTCAATGAAGTGCCAAATGTCAGTCACAAGAGTTACTGTATCTACAAATCTCTCCTCAAAGTTTGTATCCAAAGGAAATGAAAATACATGCCCACATTAAAACAAGCAAAAACTGGTAATAACCTAGAGTGTCCTATAACCAGTGTGTGATGGATAGGCTGGAAAACAGCCGTAGAATTGAATGTTATTTACCTGTATATTTAAAAACGTAGCTGGGAGTGGTGGTTCACGCCTGTAATTCCAGCACTTGAGAGACTGGTCAGGAGTCCAAGGCTAGCCTCGGATAGTTATTAAGTTCAAGAAAGCCTGGGCTACATGATACCTTGTCTCAGAAAAGAAGAAAATGACCTTTGATGCACGCTATGACATGGATAAGCCTTGGAGACATTTTGCTAAATAAAAGCGGCATCGTTCAAAAGGCCAGGGATTCCAAGATGGGGAATCTCTAGAACTACTGAATCAATAGTCACAGAAAGAGGCATGGCAGCTGCCAAACCTGAGGGGCGGGTGAGGGAGAATGGGGGTGCCATTGCTGGTAGGCTTTGGGGTAGTCGTTGGCATGGCAGAAATGCTGTGGTATTGGGTAGTAGTAGTTAGGGGCTAAGCTTCTCAGATACACTAAAGATATGCACACTGAACACCACAGTGCATGCTGGGAATTTTACAGATGTAAAGTGTTCTTTGATAAAAAGCGGGACGCCGCTTCCTTCCCACAGATGCTGGTAGCACAGTGAAAGGGAAGCATGAGTTGGGGGCCTGTCTCAGGATCTGTTGGGATGCTTATGGCTTTGAGTCTTAGGCAACAGAGCGGAGCAGGCTCCTCATCCACACACCGGATTCACCACACTGGTGACATCCATAGAGCAGGGCTGAAGACTGAATGATGCTGGGGTCCTCTGGTCACATCTGACCAGAACCAGCCCTGGGAGGCCGAGTCCTGGGAAGCAGAGTAGGGTCCAAACTGACAAGGAGCATTTGGAAGAAGCAATTCAAATCCTCAAGGTGCCTTCCACTGTCCTCGGTCTCTGCAGTTCCTGCTATGCTGAGTGCCGCCTGGCCTGGATGGCTTGGGGATGCTGGAGCAGACCCTCCTCGCTGTGCTGCCCTCCCATGCTGTGCTTACCGCCCAAGCTCTGCCTGTTCTCTCTCTGAGCCTTGCTTTGTTCACCTGTCAGACGGCTGTAGGACAGGGCGTCTGCCACTTTAGGGGGTTTTGATGCCACTTTAGGGAAACATGAGCATGTGTGGCACTTCCCAGTGCTGGCTGTGTCTCAATCCCTCCGTGCCTGTCAGTGTTTATGATAATGGATTTTGTAGAATGTTTATTTTGAAAGTCTGCTATTGCCAGGCTCTGTTCCAGTTACGGGGGAGACAGCAGAGAATTGAAAAGACAAAACTCGCCTTCGTGGAACTTACAGTGGGGTGGGCAGACAAACAAAATAAGCAGATACATTATATTTAACAATGAGGCTGAGAGAAGAGGCTGAGAGAATAAAGCTGGGAACAGGGAAGGGAGCTTGGGGAGCAGGGGGAGGGGCTCCAGGTCTACAGAAGACCATCTGGAAAAGTCTTACAAACTCCTGTATGATGGTGCATGCCATCAACTCCAGCACTCAAGGAGCTGGGATAGGAATATCAAAAGTCCAGGGCTAGCCTAGGTTAGACAACAAGCTGAGAGAGAAGGAAGGAGAAAGAGGGGCCATGCAGGTTTCCAATGGAAGTGACAACAGAACCATACTAGGTAAGAGTAACAAACACTGAAGACATCAGTGTGACCAGAGGGGAAGAAGTCGGAGGATGGGTCGTCAGGGATACGTCCCAGGGACCTAGGATGTCCAGAAGGGCTTCCAGAGAAGATAACCTCCCTGACATAGGTTGGGATGACTTCTGCAGGACTAACTCCTCGCACTTGCCCTAACTCACAACCTGTGCTTTCTCCTTCAGCACCAGCCAGGGGCCTCCATGGGTGCTTGAGGGCCAGGCACCAGGGCCGCGGGCACGAGCATGGTGAGACACCAGCCCCTGCAGTACTACGAGCCCCAACTGTGCCTTTCCTGCCTCACCGGCATCTATGGCTGCCGCTGGAAACGCTACCAACGCTCGCACGATGATACCACACCGGTGAGCTTCTCTGGGAGGGAGGCAGAGGCATCCAAAAGCCCAGTGATGGGCCCAGGAGCCAAGGGAGTCAGGGCTCAGCTATCTCTGTGCTGCTCTGGACAGGCCCATTACCTTTCCGGGGTTCAGTTTCTTCCTCAGAAAAATTGGGCCATACCTGGCCAGGAGGAATGGATAGAAAGGTTTGTCTGTGTGTGTATATAGATAGTTATTAACTGTCTTCCGGGAGTGGGGACAGCCACTCCAGGGACCTGAGCAGGAAGGAGTGTGTGTTTGTGTGTGTGTGGGGGGGGTTGACTTAAGAGGGGTCACCTCAAGAAAAACAGATCACAGTTCCCGCAGGCCTGAAAGGCTAGGTAGGGATGTCAGGAGGGAGAGGGGGGTGGGATCTGGCCATCCTGGAGCCTGGAAGCTGATGGGGCCATTGCCTGGGACCAGGGCCCAGTCACCTGAGCTGCTGGCTTGCCAGGGCCGGCAGCAGGTGCTAAGCTGGATAAAGAGGCCTTAGTACTGGCTGCTCCGCCAGACCGAACTGCACTCCTGTCCCCAGGCACTATCAGGCGGTGGATCTGGTTTCTTCTCTGAAGGAACCCAATTCCTCTGTGGTGTTTATCTAAAAGCTTTGCTGCCTGGAGAACAGCTTTTCTCCTCCCTCCTGCTTGTCTGAACAAAGAAGCTAGCCTCTGAATTCACCAGCCCCAAGCAGGCTGTAGAGTCAAGGATACAGCAGCTGAGTTGAAGTAAGAGGCTCAGCCAGGCATGGCGAGGGCAGGGGACTTGCCTACCTGCTTGCTCTCCTCAGTGCTGGAGAGAGACGGAGTAAGTGCAAGACTGTGTCAGGAGCCTAGGCTGTGACCCCATGAAAAGCATGGACTATCAGAGTGAACCCAGAGCAGGTTCCTTATGGTGTCCCCATGCCCAGCACAGAAGAGGAAACATGGCTAAACAGAGCAAGGGTGAGGAAGAGGAAGGGACATGGCCAGGGCCACCATAGCCTGGCAGTGCCGGGATGGAGCCCACCTCTCACTGTAGCCACAGCATGGGCCGGCATCCTGGGCACTACATGATTTGGCCAGTCTCTCTTGGGTAGACAGGATTTGTCTGCCAGGGAGAGACACAGACCAGAGCCGACAGATGAAGGGTCATGGGTGCCTCTTCCACTAGTAGCCAGTGGCTGTAAGCTGTGCACCCGGGAGGGAGAGGTGGTAACATACCCTCTCATGGGCCAACATGTGAGACAGGGTTGTTGAGCGATCAGCCTGGTGCCACCTATGAGAAGACATTTGGACAGATCGGTCCAGGTGCCGAGTCTCCGTTGCCACATCACTGAGTGGGAAGCAGCAGATCGGTGACTTCTGCATTATGGGTAACCCGCTTTGTTCCATAGCAGTCTGCCTCCTTCAGGCCTGGGGCAGGCAGCAGGCCTCTTTGACCTGGCTTCCCTGTGGCTGGTACCCTATGTACTCTCTGGGTCAGTGTTGTACTGACAGGCTCCACTCCCATTGTACGTAGTGACCACGGGTCATGGAGAAGCAGAAGCCAGGGGCTAGAGCAAGATCATCCAGTGGTAACAAGCAGAGCAGCTGAGGGATGACCAAGCTCCTAACAGAAAGGCCACCGGCAGGCAGCCTTCCTCGGCCATGAGTCAGGAAGGGAAGGGGCTTGACTGGCGAGCTGAGGGGTGGAGAAGGTATGCCCAGGCAGTGACTAGGAGCCTCGGAGGTTCAGGCTGTGGGGATGCCATAGTCTGGGGTGCTGGGTATGGAACTGAGACTGAAGGAATGGCAGAGATTTCAGTCTGTTCTGTCTCTGCAGATGGCTGAGCTCACCTCAGGGAACCCCAAAGTCAGCTGATGTTGAGCCTCTGAGGCTCATAGCCTGCTTCCTCTCTTATTCGAGCGAATGTTCTTTCTCTCCTCGCTCCTCTCTCCCGATCCCCTCCTGCCACAGATGGCAGCCACGGCAATGAGGCTATGCTGAGCGCTCTTGCCAGGCACAGTAAAGGGCACAGAGGTCTGTGGACTCAGACAGCTGGTGCAGGCTAGGCATGGAGTTCAGTTGGCAGGGTGCTTGCCTTGGGTTTGCTTCCCAGCACTGGTAAACCAGGCCTGGGCACACACAGCTTGTGTGTGTTTGATCCCACTACTCAGGAGTAGAAGCAGGAGGGTCAGAAGTTCGAGGTCTTCCTCAGCCACTTAGAGAGTTCCAAGCTAGCCTGAGTTACTTGAGGCCTGGCCTCAAAACAAACCAAAAGCAACTGGTGTGGAACAGGGGCTACAGGTACAGTCGCTGGGCGAGTAGAAGCTACTGCTAACTCAGGAACAGGGAGGAGGGGCCTCTGCAGGGGTGTGACCCCCCACCCCATATCTCACATGTGCAATGGGAGGCAGTGAGTGGATGAGCCCTGCCCCTCTCATCCTGGAGCTGGGAAATAAGGCAGACAGTCACGGTACGGGTCAACATGATGGAGCATCCATGGTATGCAGGGAGCAAATTATTTACAGTGTCTGGTTAATTGTTCCAGCAACCCCTGCTGGGCACATTTAACTGAGCACCCATTTTACAGAGGGAGAAATTCAGACACAGCAGCTGTGTGGGAGGTGCAGCCACGGTTGCTGGGGGCTGGCGGCTGCAGAAAGATGGTTTGCATTGGTGCATGGGTAAATAATGAGCACTCAAGGAGAATGGGGCCGGGAGCAGTCAGGAAGTTGTGACTGAGGAGCGGAGTCTGGGGTGAGGCAGGGTTGTTCTCTGATGCCAGGCTGGGATCCCCAGTGGCAGTCTCGGCCGGCCAGACTGGCTTCCAAGCAGGCCCTAGGGACGAGCAAGATCACAGAGCTTGGAGAAGAACTCCTTCATGAAGGCCGCGCCCCGCCCACCCACGTCTGCCTCTGTACCACTCCCAGTGCCTTTGTTCACAGGGCACACCATATGGAAGCAGGAAGCTGAGAGACTGACTGGCCTCTCCTGCCCCTGGCTGAGGGTGCGGAGCAGCGAGGCTGAGAGAGTCTCACCCCACAGCAAGACAGGGAAGCAGAGCTTTTTATAACTGGGGATAATTAATTGGCTGTTGTTTGTGAGTCATTATTTTAATGCTGCCAATTAAGGACTCAGTGACACAGTACTGTTCTGGTTGTGCCCGGCCCCCCCCCCCCCACCTCTGGCAACCTCCCCTCCAAATCCCTGGGTCCCCTGAAGGCAGCAGTGTCAAAACCAACTTCCATACTCTGGGAGGGATTTAGGTCAGAGGCCTGGAGGAACTTCCCAGCTAGACACCAACAAGCAAGAGTATGATAATCAGCTGTCTTGCACGTCTGTGCTACACTTGCTTTTTAAAAGCTTGTTATGACCTTAATTGATCTTTCCTAGCTTATAAATGGGGCTCCGAGAAGAGTGATTGATTCACACTGAGGGGCCATTGGCACAGTATGCCCTCCCTCAATCACGCCCCCAGCTTGTATCTTCTCCCCTTCCACCTTCAGTGTGCAAGACATGTACATATTCAATCAACAAACCTATTCTGGTATGCGCTCACAAATCACAGTTGTGTCTGACCTGGATCCTCTCCTCCCTTGAAAGAGAGCTCAGGCTGGTAAGGGTCAGGGGACAGATATGAATAGACACCCAGGGAAATCAAAGCCCGGTCCAGGGAATGCTGGGAGTGGGTGGTAAGTGTATGAGGTAGGGTGTCTATTGCTACTGACTCATATTTGGGAGCTGAAAATCATTGCACCTCATCTGGGGAAGGGAAAATAGGTTACCTGGGAGGCCTGAGCCTGCAGCTGAGCTGAGCAGCCCAGGCCTTAGCCTTGGGCCAAGCTATGCAAAGGCCCCAGGTGTTAACTTGTGCAGAATACATCAACAGCCCTTGAGAGGAGAGCCAGGGAGCCAGAAGAGTTGGGGAGGTGACGTGTGTGCACACATGTGTGCTGGTACACACATGCACATGTGCAACGGTGTGGCCCAGGGGAGGGATATCACAGACAACTAGAAGGTCCAGTCACAGGCTGACCCGGGCAGAGCCTTGGAAAGAGTCCTTTTCATGCAATAGTCTGGGAAGCTGGAGGCCACTCTTGCTGTAAGGTCATGAGAGAGGCTTTGGGCATGGACAGGCGAGTCAGTGTCCTCAGCCCCAGGGGCCTCCCTCCTGGGGTGGATGGCCGCTTCTCTTGCCATGAGTGTCTGCTGCCTCTCCCTGTCCCTTGTCCTGTCATACAAGCCATGCTGACCGTGTCAAGCGGCGTCTCCGTATCCTGGACACCTCGTCTTCTCACCACAGAGGTGTGGCTCCCACTGTCCAACCCCCCACCTCTCTCCCTTCACCTAACTCAGACCTTTCCACCAAACCAAGCCATCACTCTCCTTCCCCGTGCTGTGGCTCTCACAACCACAACCCTTTGGTCCAGTGCTAGCCATAAGGACTGGGATTTTCTGGGCCTCCCAGTGGACTTAAGGCCTGGCTCAGGTTTGGCAAGGTGTACTAAGAGGAGTGCAGGACAGATAATGGCTTGGACAGTGGACAGTGACTGAGGAAGCTGCCTGGAGGATGTGCCTGGCATCTTACTGACCACTGTTGGGGTGGGACCTCTAAACTCGAGTGTTGGGGTCTGGAGAAGGCAGATGCACCCATGTGATAAAGGGCCCGCTGTGTTCCGGTCCTGCCTCTCGGGGTTCTGGCTGTGGTTGGCAGGGGAGGATGCTGACTCAACCCTTGCGTCTTCCCAGGCCACCCTTGAAGCTGAGATTGGTTTGTTCTGCAGGTGGACAAGGAGGGGAATTTCCCAGCATCCTGTCCTAGCAGCCTGTGGTTTGAGTCTTGGATGGGTTTTTGTAGGGGGAGAAAGACCACAGGGTTGGCTTGGTGATGAAGCCCCTTAAAGCAGATTCCAGGATATGGTTAAATTCAGCTACACACAGACGGGCAGCCCTGGCCAGGCATCTGTATCTCTAACTCTGCCCTTCCTTCTGATACTGCCCAGGCCCTCAGGCAAGCCCCATGCCTC